TATATTTTGCTTGCATGACCAATATGATTCTACAACATGTACACTCAGAAAAATGTGAAATTATACCCCATCTATGTATGATATATCAAAGTTTATAAATGCATCCTGTAATGTATAACTAATAAAAATGAATAAATAAAAAAGAAAAAGAAAATCATAAAGCAAAATTCGAGAAAGTAAAAAAGCCCAGGCAACTGGACACAACTGCGTATGGCAACTTGGTACACAGTGTCCACAAAGGTAGGGTCATAACGGGATATGTATATACTGCGCATAGTCTCTCATGGGCCTCATGGTAGCAGTAGGTGGTGGGCATAAAACAGGAGTGAAGGCAAGATGGGGAACAAAAGAGAAGGGAATAGATTTGGGTTCCACCAGAAGCCAGCAGTCATCATTTCTGTCACAATTATCCTAGTCACCATTTCCACATCTGCACAATTTTGCTCTCTTCAATGTTCCCAATTTTTTAAAATCAAATGAGTTATTTTGACTTCAATTAAATAAATTTATATGCAGCATGTCAAATCTTTTAAAATTATAGCTTTGAATGTAGCTGACCCAAAGACAAAGATGTTGTTTTATTTTGCCATTTAGAGAATATTCCTGTTCAAATTTAACCTGACTTCTGAATTTTAATTAGTGACCTGGGTTATTGAATTTCCTTTGAGATGACTTTGGAATTAATGGAGCAAATTATATATATATATATATATATATATATATATATATATATATATATATTTTTTTTTTTTTTTTTTTTTTTTTTTTTCTAGTGCTGGGGATTGAGCCTGGGGCCTCATACATACTAGCAAGCACTTCTGGTACTGAGCTACTCTTTTAGCCCAAGAGACATTTTTAAATGTTGTTAATTTGGTAATTTGAACTTTTAGTTTCCTAATGTCCCTAAGTATGACATTAGTTTAACTTATGCACTTTAAAAAACTTAACAATTTAGGACATATTTAAGAATAGATTTTAATCTGTTACAATCCTATCTTGTTAGGTTTATAATAAAGTAAGGACTAGTCAATTTTATAAGTCAGTCTCCTAAAACCCTCCCAAAATTAGAAAAAGAAATATTTCTATATGAAATGTGTATGTGTTGTGTGTGTGTGTGAAACAACTTTAACTTTAAATATTATAAAATTGTTCAGTAAGAGTATGGTTCGCTTTGGGCTACTATACCTAACTATTTCTAGGAAAGGAGGTTTTTGGTTTTCAAAGTTACAGAAACCGTAGATTACTTAACTAACAGAACTTCTAGAATGGCTCTTAGCGTCTCTTCCCTGTATTTCACAGCACTCAAGGAGAGCTCTTCTCTGCTACTGTTCAAGCCTCATCTTTTAACCACTTTAAAAATTTTGAAAACTGTCAGTTAATTTTCCCTCTCACAAACCTCATTAATGTTATTTAAAGACCTTAAGTATTCTTTATATTCCTAGAAAATTTCAATAAATGACTGAAATTTCCTTTCTCTTTTATCATCTTGAAGCTCTTCAACATCTGCACTAATGACCTAGATCCTGCTTATCCATCTCCAATGTCTCTTAACTTTATTTCTCTTCAGTTTACTATAGAGATGGCCATACATTGTCATTTGCAACTACTCAGCTCTAAGTATTTGAACTCTGAAGTTCTCCTTTTGGATCACAGTTTTGCTTTGAGTCATTAAGCTGTCATTCAACCACTTAGCAAAGGTTTGTTGAGTGCTTGTCACATGTTGAATTGTACAGTGCTCCCTTTTAACAGCCCTCCATTCCTCTACCTTATAACTTCTAGCTCCTTGATATTCTGATTTTTACTTTATGTACTTTGCTAGTTTATTTTTTATTGATTTATCCATTTATTTGACAAAGATGAGAAACACTAAATGAATTTAAGGATATATTAATAAAAATTACCAGAATTTAAACATGCACAGAAATAGAAAAAAGGAATTAAAAGTGAATTTCACAAAGAAAAATAAAACACAGGATTTAAAACCTGGAGTACTGCAGCATATTGTATGGCAGTGACATAAATTATTATCAAAGTGATTATCAAAAATCAAAAGATAATAAGTATTGGTGAATATGGATTAATGATAACACTAAAACACTGTTACAAATGTAAATGGCACAGTCATTATGGAAAACAGCATAGAAATTCCTGAAAAATTAGAACTAGAGCTACCATTGGATCCAGTAAATCTATGTAAGGTCAGGCAGCAGCGACCAAAAGGAGGCAGATTTTAAAAGGCCACTGAACGAGGCTTTATTGAGATTTCGCTCCCAGGCAGAACTCTTAGACTGACAGAATGGGTCTAAGTAGAAGCGCTGGAGGCTCCATGGGACTGGAATTCTTATTGGGGTTAGAGTCCCTTGGCCTACTGAAGTTGTTGTTGGTGGTGGTGGTGGTAGTGGGAGCTGGCTAAGATCCAGGATTGGCCTGGGGACCCCGCTGATTGACAGGCGGTTCCGTCAGTGCCTGATGGGTGTTTTTTTCGCGTTCTTGTGTTGCTTGGTGCTTTGTTCCTCAGCCACCTCCACCTAACCATCTACTTCTGTGTATTTATTTGTTTATTTTAATTAATTTATTTAGTATAATTAGGTATATATGACAGCAGAATGCATTTTTATTCATTGTACACAATTGCAGCATTTCTCTGGTTGTACACCATGTTGCATCGTATCATATGTGCAGTCATACATGTACCTAGGAGAATGATGTTCATCTCATTCCACCATCTTTCCTGCCCCCATGACCCTTTCCCACTCACTCCTCTTTGTCCAATCAAAGTTCCTCCATTTTTTTTCCCATGCCCCTCTCTCCCCATGATGGATCAACATCCACTTATCAGAGAGAACATTCGGTCTCTGGTTTTATGGGATTGACTTACTTTGCTTTAAATGATATTCTCCAACTCCATCCATTTACCTGCAAATGCCATAATTTTATTCTCTTTTAATGCTGAGTAATAGTCCATTGTGTATACAGTTTTTTTATCCATTCATCTACTGAAGGGCATCCAGATTGGTTCCACAGTTTTATTTGCTTTCCTATTTTATTGTAGATCATTTCACTTGCCCTTTAACCAGCACCTTTAATCCTTTTTTTACTTGAACCTCACTTCATTTGACCTCTTTTAGTATTGTGTGTCTTCTCTATGGATTTGGTGCAATTCAATAGTGGTTTATGGGATCTATTCTGCCAAGAACAGTTGGAGATTCACAGATGAATAAGTTATAGTCTTTTCCCTCAAGCATCTGAGCCCAGAAGAGAGGACACATAAGTACTTCATTGCAGTATAGTGTGGTGGACATAGAACATATGGTCTTAGGAGGAAAGCAAAAGCTTCCTAGAGGAGGAGAAATCCATGTAAGTTTTTAATTTTTTTAAAACTGGAATTTATCAAGCAGGCAAAATGTACAATAGGCTCAATATTCAAGATTGATGGAGCAATATGTATAATGATATGGAATGGTGGACCTGCAAGATTAAAGGAAATTACAGAAAATTTGGTATTTGAGTATAAAGTTTGAAAGGCAATTCATGGAAGATAAGCATAAAAGATTGTATAGGCAGTCACTGGAGATCTCACTTGTAATATGTAGCTCTGTTGTAGCGTTTATCATACTGTATTCCACAGTGATTTTTCATCTTCATGTCACTACCAAGTGGGCTTCTTCAGGGCAGGCACTGGCCCTTATTCATTAACCTTTGCATACATAACACCTAGGCAAGTGTCTAAAACATAGTAGATACTCAGTAAATGCTTGTGTTATTAGTGTGGACTCTTTAAAACTTTTTAAAGATTTTTAAAATTCGAGCTCAGTGGCACACACCTGTAATCCCAGCTACTTGGAAGGTTGACACAAGAGGATTACAAGCTCAAGGGGAGCCTGGGCAAAATAATATAAAAGGGTTTGGGATGTTGCTTAGAGGCAGAACACTCCTGGGTTCAATCCCTGCTAACACACACACGCACACATACACACACACTCAAATATATGTGATTTTTCTGAGTTGAGTCTAGACATTGTAAGAACCTTTTTAAAAATATTTTTTAGTTGTTCATGAACTTTTCTTATTTATTTATTTATATGTGGTGCTGAGAATTGAACCCAGTGCCTTACACATGATAGGCAAGCACTCTACCACTGAGCAACAACCCCAGCCCCAAATAGACATTCTTAGACACTCTATTTTTAAACCTGATGTTCAGGATATGGCATATCTAGTACATAAAAAATTTTACAAATAATATGTTATCAGATTTCTTCTCAGATATAAATATTATTGATAGACAAGACCAATGGGTAGAACAGAATAGATGTCTAAGGCAGGTTGGTTAAAAGTTCTTTGTATATCTTCCCATTTACTCATATCCCCTTCCTGTACCTCCTCCAGAACGTAGGACACCACATGAAATATTTTATGACAAAAGGGATAATTAGAAGACTCATAAAACTCTGTAGCTCAGGGAGGGCAAGAGGTCTGTTTGGTATCTAGAGTAGAAGACTAATAATAGTCAAAATTTCAGTCCTCGTGTATTCTTGCCTCTTGTTTCCAAACAGGCAATTTGGAGCTGGGGCAGAATGTCTGCCTTGCATACACAAGGCCCTGGTTTGATGTCTAGTTCTACCAGCAAAAGAGCAGAGGGAGGCATTTCAAATAACTGTGGAAAGTAGAAAATGTTGTGAATATAAAGGAAAAAAAAGGAGTCTTATAACCTTGAATCAATCATTATAGTACCTAGTAAATCTTCAGAATTTTGTCAGCTAAGAGAAATTGGCAAATTGCTAACCACCAATGAAAAAATAGAAAAATAAAAGAAAACCCCAATTCTTTGGGTAACACATTGCTTTGTCTTTTGTAGTCTTAAGTAGTCTTTCCCTTTCAGGGAAAGACTCACTTGAGCTTGTTTGCCTTCTCTTGCTGCTTTTTAAACGCCTTTGCTGAGGATGCTAACCACTGTGGTTTCTCCCAATATCCTCTCATTCCTTCCCATCCTCCCTTAGTATATTTTTGCCACTTATGTTGCTCCATCGGCCACTCTTGACATTGGACTCCAGCAGGAAAAGAAGAGAGACATTTACAAGAAAATACAACCACCATTTGAAGACCTCTTTGACACAGCAGAAGAGTACATCCTCCTCCTCCTTCTGGAGCCCTGGACCAAGATGATGAGGTCAGACCAAGCTACTTACAGAGAGGTATTGTGGCTCTGATTAAGGTGTGAACCTTTCCAATTTACTACACAACTAATGATAAGCAACACGGCTAACTCACAAGAGAAAAACTGAAAAAAAGAACTCACATGGGCCCCAGATTTAGAGTTAAGATTTGTGTGGTTCCAAAGTTGGGCAGGGAAAATATTTTATTAACTTAATTTTGTGCCATTTCCCTCTTGTCTCCTAACAAAAATACTAAAATCTCTATCATTTTTTTTGTTCCCTGTACAAATATGTCAGAAGAGGGAAATTTGAGTTCTGATTTTCTGTGAAGCAGCAAAAGATTCATGGTAACATACTAGCTTTGTCCCATCTTGTCAAGTCTCAGCAGTGGCCTTAATTCTGATTAAGGGAAAAAGCCTGTTTCATTTAATGCTCGATGAGTTATATGAATATTATACCCATGGAAAGTATAAATGTTTCCTATGTATTGTGAAAAGCAGGTCCTTTGACTTCAGTGCTTCTATTTTAAAGCATCCCCAGATATTTAGGTCAGAGTGTTTTGTTAGATAAAAATTTCAACACACTTTTTTTTTTCATTCCAAAAAAAGATTATTTTAATTTTTGGTACTTGAACATTTTCATTATTCTTATTGGTGAGTGGAGGAATTTTCTTTAAATATTTATTTTGAATCACAAATTAAAACCATGCTTAGATATTCTTATGTTAATGCATGCACTGTATGCTTGAGGTGATTTAAGGTGGAACTCTGCTTTTTACTGCTATTCTTTATTCATATTCACTCAGCAACTTGTTAGATAGTCATGTCTTCAATCAGGAGGGGTAAGTTAGGTGATGATGGCAAAATTAATACCAAAGCACCTTGAATGGAACTATACTGGACAAGCTTGAGATTTACTAAATTCAACAACGAAAATAGATTTTTCACTCCTGATTTCTCTCTTTTTTTTCACTCCTGATTTTTCTCTTAAAAATTAGCATAACATTGTTTCTACTACAGAAATATATATATATACTAACTAGGAAAATTAGAAGATTATAAAATCTAAAAAAGTTCTCTCTAATCAATTTTTAAAATCTGTACTCTATTGGGTAGAGGAAGGGTATTGTATAGGATATCCTGCAGTGGTAAAAAAGATTTGGAATATAACTAACTTCCCCAAACCCCAAATCTTCGACATTAGCAATGATACAGGACAAATTACATACCGGTTTTTATTTATTTATATATTTGTAGTTGTAGATGGACAGAATGCCTTTATTTTATTTGTTTGTTTTTATGTGGTGCTGAGGATCAAACCCAGTGCCTCACATGTGCTAGGCAAGCGCTCTGCCACTGAGCTACAGCCCCAGCCCTCCATCCTATTTTTAATATATGGAAAAAATGAATCTCTTTCTTAGTCCTAGAAACTTTCTTAAATTTAGTTCAGAGAACTTCTCTAAAAGCCCAGATGACTCTTATTATGTAGACTCTTTCCTAAAAAGGATACTCAAGCAGACTACCCAAGCTTGCTATTAAATTCAGAAAGTTCTCTAGAAAGTAGTTAACCAAACCAGGTTTTCCCTGCAATAGAGACACAGTGATCTTGTTCTCCTGACTACATAGAATATGCTCTGAATACTGAGACCTGCTATGAAAATTAATTTAATGATTGTCTTATCTTTTGCTACAACCATAAAGCCTTTGCTTCCAGACTAATAACAATATGGAGTCTAGTCATTTCTTGTTCTCTTGTGAATTATTTGGTTCCTAAAGCTAGCAGTGTCTGCCTTCATGACTATTATCCTGTTACATTGAATATAAACTCAAAATGTGACCAACATATTTACATCGCTTGTTAGCCTACATGGGATGTTCAAAAAGGAGGCATGATCATCAGCAGCCTTATATCATTACATAAAAATGTCTGCAGTTTTTATTGCATGCATGTGAAGTGTGATTTTACTGTAGCTAATATTTTTAACTATGTTAATCTTCCACTTTTGCCTCCAAAATAACTTGCTTTGTTGGCACTCATGCTTGTTTTTTAGCTCACTGTTTTTGGAAATTGAGCATTGTGCTCCACACTCTTTCATAATGTACATTCTGTTGATGTTACAAGCTTCATAATTATTATTTTTTTAGGTGGAACTGGTGGAAGAAACTCGGCAGCTAGACTCTTCATGCTTCCGAAAGCTACGGGCTTTGCATAAAGAGACCCTTCACAAGAAAGATGAGGTAAGATAACTCTCTACAGAGAAAAACTAGCCTTTTATCCTTGAGAGGGTTACTTTATATGTTGGTGGCTAGATCTTACATTGAGGAGATCATGTACTGATAAAATGAGGACAGGCCACATCATTTTCCTGTTTTTTTTTTTTTTTTTGCCTAGCACATTGCATTTTACAGGTATCACATTATATTTAACGAAAGAACCAGAAAAACAAAGCAGATAAAGTAGAATAGGGAGACAAGCCATTTGTTTGACTTAGCTAAGACTGGAAACTTGAGCTTCTAAGCCACATTACAGTACTTTGAAATATATTAGTTATTTTTTTGTATTTGCTTGACTTAAAAAATGGTAGTGTGACAGCAATAGACAAACAACAAAGAAAAATATGAAAAGGAATTGGGGAAATTGGTTAAAAATGTCATAGAATTGACTAGGGTATTAAAGTGTTATTTTGACTTATAAATATGTGACTTTTGCATTGGCTAAATAAACTATGATAGATCCACACAATCATAAATTTAAATGTGTGCATCTACATAGAAATGACACTTAATTGACCTAGAAAAGGTCAAGGACATACTATAATATAAAAATGTATGGATCAAAAACAATGGTATGGGCTGATCCTATTGATGTAAAATCATATATGCATTTCTACATGCATACATGCAAAAAGAGATGTCTGGAAAGATATTCACCAAAATGTTAACAATAGTTTTGAGTGGTGATTTTTCACTTTCTTCTCTGTATCTACCTACAGTTTTTATTCTTATACAATAAAGTTTTACAAAAACAATTGTCATTTTAAAATGTAAACTTTATAATAGTTGCTTTAGTAAATTATTAGAAGTTCTCTATTTGAGACATTACTGTTTATTATTTTTCTATGCTGAAAAATTTTATTTCTTGAGATTAAGCAATGGAAATCAATAATGAAAATGACAATACTGAAACAATAAAAAATCGAAATTATCTGAAGAATAACTGTACAGTTTATATATATGTGTCAACTGCCTCTGTGTGTTAAATTTCTTTATTGGCTTTCTAATAAAGCATTCCTCTGTGGTTGTTTAAGTCCCTCCACCCCAACTCTCAAAGATGAAAAATTGTTTTAACAAATTTTCATATTTGTTTGTAGGAAGATTCCCAGTTTGGCATCTTTCATGTTCAGAGTATTTTCAAACATTTTTATCTAAACATTTTATCTAACATTTTTATTCAGCTCTGCATTCAGTTATGATACTTAATAACTTTTTCCTTAAAGTGCTTCTCTTAGGACAGAAAATATACTCACAAATCCTTCTGGAGACTTGTTTCATATAGGTGATAATTTGCTGTAACCAGTAGAGCCCCAAGTACTTTTTTATGTACTAAGAAAACAGAACAAACAAACAACAAAAAAACACCCCTCAAACCAAAATAAACACCTGTTGTTCCCAACAGCCAGAAGTGGTTTTTGTAAACATTTTCTCATGGTTGCCTCTAGTCCTTTGTTTTTTATGAAAGAAATAAAATGTCCCCAGTTCTCTTTATAAAATTGTACACATATAAACTAACAAAGGACTGTTTTGACATTGTAGAGTTCTAAGAAAGAGAGGCTCAGATTAAACAAATAGTAAGTGCCACTGCATATATGGCCCCCCAAAATTCCACCAGAAAACTTCTAGAACTCATAAATGAATTCAACAAAGTAACAGGATATAAAATTAACACAAATAAATTAGATTTGTTCCTATATATCAGGGTGAATCCACTGAAAGAGAAATTAGGAAAACTGCCCCATTCACAATAGCCTCAAAAAAAAAAAGAAAAAGAAAAAGAAAACATAACTTAGGAATCAAACCTTAGAAGATGAAAAGACCTCCCATGCTCTTAGATAGGCAGAATTGTCAAATTTACCTAAAGCATATACAGATTTAATGCAATTCCTATTAAAATCCCAATGTCATTCTTCATAGAACTGGGACATGCAATAATGAAATTCAGTTGGAAAAATAGGGGACCYACAATACTGATTACTATCTTGTGAAGTATACATAAAAATCCATAAAGTTGTCACATTTTAAAGTTTTATTTTAAACTTCATGAACTAAAAATTGTTAACACTTTCCATAATCCTTCTACAGAAAGAGAGTTAATTCTTTAAATATTAGTAATTTATCTCATGGTCAAACACTTTCAATAGCACATATGAAGATAAAATAATTATGTAAGGAATTATATGAAGAAGGAATTTTTGAAGAATAAGCCTGTCTCTTTGCACTTTATAGCTTGTAAACTATCCACAAAACATCAGATGTCTTAAAATTACCTAAAAATGTAATTTTAGGTAAATATATATAGGAAGGTGATTACATTAGAAGGACACACTCTTAGACAAGTATCTTTTATTGCTTTGTAACTTTTAAAAATTGTGTTATAGAAGAGTGTTTTATGTTCATGATGTATTGTTTAGAAAAAGAACCAAATTACAACCCTCATTTTTGTTTGTTTGTTTGTGGTGCTGGGGATTGAGCCCAGGGCCTAGTGCATGCAAGGCAAGCACTCTACCAATTGAGCTGTATCCCCAGCCCACAACCTTCATTTTTAATAAACTACATGTAATATAGAAAAAGACTGGAATGATACAAAAGCATATTAATGGTGGCTATCTCTAATGTTATTACTATTGGTGTTTTTTTTCTTTTTACTCCAAGACATTACTTCTATACTAAGAAAGTATAATAAAATTAATATTTTAAAAATAAATGCTTTGTATATAGTGAATGTTTACTGAATATTCATATTAAGAAAAGAATGGAGTAAAAAGGAACAGAATAAGAATCTGAATCACCTAGATTCTTTATCTACTTCTACCACTATTAAAAACCCTCGGCTTAATTGTTGATTTTTCTTTCAATTTCTCCAATGAAAATTGCCAATAGTTTGTTGCATTTAAGAGATTTTTATGCAAAGTATTATGTCACTAGGGCACCACTGGTGAAACTGGAACTAGTGTTTTATCACTCTCTAATGTCTATAAAGAAACAGAATATTGGAATAATGTTCCTGAAGAATACAAGCATTTTCGTTTTAATGATCTGCTGAACAACAAACTGGAGTTTGAACATTTTCGTCAGTTTCTTGAGGCTCATTCTTCAAGGTGAGGAACCAGAACCATTTTTTAATGTATTCCTTACTTAACACATCATTTTTTCTTAGCCACTGGTTTTGATTCAACATATTATAATAGTGTTAGATTTTTACCCATGTCACTGTTAAGCATAATTATCTGAAATTTGTATGGATTACTTTTTTGTTGGAATGCATTTTATTGTAGCAAACTCCAAAATGTTATTTTAAGTGATTACACAATATTTATACTTTCAGCATTGCCTAACTTAAAACACCACTAGTACCTTCTACTTTTTCTTTTCTGCTGTTTATTTTGCATTTCTCTAGACAAGTACTTCAATTACAATTTCTGGAAAGTATTTCTTTTACATTTTTACATTTCACTAAGTTTCTTGTTTATTTTGATATCAGGGATTGAACCCAGGGGTGCTTAACCACTGAGCCACATGCCAGCCATTTTATTTTTTGTTTTGAGACAGGGTTTCACTAAGTTGCTTAATGTCTTACTAAATTGCTGAGGCTAGCTTTGAACTTGTGATCCTCCTGCCTCAGCCTCCCAAACTCCTGGGATTATGGGTGTGTGCCACCATGCCCAGCTAGCTATTTAAATTACTAGAATATTTTACAATTTATTAATGGAAATAATGGGGATGGAAAAAACAAGTCTTTGGGAGTAAAAGAGAGAAGAAATTCTAAAATTAAGCAGCTTTGACAAAACTGTCTTTCTGTTAGTTCCCTGAGAAACAAATCTGGGACTTATTAGCAAAAGTGCTTGGGTATCTCAATAAGCACATTCTATATAATATATAAAGGAAACATTGTTGTTTTTGTACAGAATCTTGGAAACTTACAACATTTACCTGTAATAAAATGAAATATTGATCATATTGTTTTCTCTCAAGTTAATAGAAACTGGTTAGAACTGGGTGCCAAATTTCACTCTATAGAGTTGCCCTTCATTGTGGGTTAAGTTTTCTAAATTTGGCCTTCTGTCAAATGGACATGTCATATACAGACATTTCTCCAAATTTGAAATTGATGATCCTATTCCATCATTCATGGAAGACCCCATCACTATTGATGAGCAGTATTTTTTCTGGTCCCATTATTCCTTTTCATCACTCATTTGTTTAGCCAGAATTAGGATTATAATAGTCAAGATAACTGCATAGGAAGGCAAGAGGTGACAGTGTGCCCATCAGTTCCATAGGTGTAGCCCATTGTGCTCATTAGCCAAGACAGCCACTTTCTGAATCTGTCAAAACAGCAACTTGTTTAGTGTTTAGTAGAATTTAGAGAAATAAACAAGAAAAGCTCTATTTTTCTTTGTTTTCATTTTAGCATGGATCTTATGTGCTGGATAGACATTGAGCAGTTCCGAAGAATAACTTACAGTGATCTAAATCAAAGGGAGACAAAATCTGTATACATTAAAAAGAAATACCTTAATAAAAAGTATTTCTTTGGACCCAACAGCCCAGCTACTCCATATCAGCAAAACCAGGTATCAGCATGTAAATCTGTTTTTTATCTCAAGTATGAAAAACAGTCATTTATTTCTTTTTGCCAACAACCTGACAGTCTTTTTTTCCCTTTTGTTTTGCTTTTATGGCATATGCTAAACACTTTTGGTATCTCATTTATTTAGGTATTTACAATTCTATACATTAATGCCTTTAAAATTCATTCAAGTATTACATACTACAAGAATATGTTACTAAAAGTAATTTACAGGTTGAAAAGAACTTTAATTCATGTAGGTCTATATTAAGAACATTGCTCAGAAAATTAGGGATACAATTACAGCTTTATACCTATTGTACTTGAATTTCTCATTCATTCATTCATTCACCAAATATGAGTGCCTTTGATATGCCAGACTGTGCTGGGTGCTCGGGACAAAAAGGAGAACAAGATAGACAAATTCCCTGCATCTCTCAACATTCAGGAAGACAGCCATCGTCAACCATTAAACTAATCTCTCTTTCCTCTTAATTGTTATTATTCCAATCATAACTCATCTTTGAAAATTCTGTTTACAGTTGTCCCCAGAAACTATTTTCAATGATTAAGAACATAGGTTTGACCATTTTGTTATACCAAAGTCCTATAGATTTTAGTCACAACTCATTAATAACAATAGCGTTATTAGACTTAGAGCAAACACACACCTTGGGTTGGGATTCAGCAATGGGTATAAGTGCTCAGTGATATAAATCAAAGGGAGGCAAAATCTATATACGTTAAAAACAAATACCTTAATAAAAAGTATTTCTTTGGACCCATGTCTCAATTTTTATGCCTTTAAAATATAAAAAGTTAGGTATTATAATTTATTTAGTTTGAAGTTTGTTATTTCTTCATCACTACCTAAAGATCAAATATATACCATATGATTATGTATTTTAGAAGCTTAAAAGGATGTCTGTCCTAATGGTGCACATTTATAAGATACAAATTCAGATTAATGTTAATTTATTGAATTAAAGAAAAATGAACAGACACTCATGAATAGAGTAATCCAAACTAAGAAGCTGTAGCTTTGGTGGGGATGGAAGAAAAAAGTCTTTGGGAGTAAAAGAGAGAAGAAATTCTAAAATTAAGCAGCTTTGACAAAACTGTCTTGCTGTTAGTTCCCTGAGATACAAATCTGGGACATATTAGCAAAAGTGCTTGGGTATCTCAATAAGCACAACTATGAAATAATTACATGGAAAACATTTGTTTTCTATTTGGTTTGTGCTATATCGCGTGAGGGTTCATGGTATCTGATGCTACTGTGTGAACCTTCCAGAGCACATATGATCTCATGGCTATCATAGCAAATCCTGGTGCTTGCCTCAGAATTTTTCCAGTGACTCTGCTTCATTTCATCATAACATTTTTTTGTTTTGTTTTGTAAGTATTTTTAGTTAAGATTGACACAATCTTTATTTTATTTATTTATTTTTATGTGGTGCTGAGAATCAAACCCAGTACCTCACACATGCTAGGCAAGTGGCTCTACCACTGAGCCACAACCCCAACCTCATCCTTACATTTTTAATTACTTATTTTATACTTGAGGCTGTCTAAATCATATTAAGTTTTATAAAGATCATGCCAGTCATAATATCAGTTATTTATTAGCAAGGTAATCTTTTCTTTTTTTTAAATGTAAGAACAGTATTATTATTTGATTGTTTATTATTTGATTATATTATTAAAAAAGGACTAAGAAGGATTTATCTTTATAAAACAATATTAGTAATTTATTAATCATTTACTAACATGACTAATCAAAGGAGAACTAAATAAAGAGGGTGAATGTTCCAGTCAGCAATCCAGAAATTTTGAGCAGTATGTAGACAGAAACAGGTAGAGAACAGAATAATTTACAGCAGGAAATAGCCATTAGTGGGTTGTTGAGGCCAATAATTATGCTACAGGAAGATTGGGGCCACAGAGAAATTGTTTTTGAACAGTGCCACTTATGCAAGACTATTATCTGTCAAATATGGCATTTTTCTACTTCCTGTTGCCTACTTTCTTCTGAGACTTGTTAAAACAGCCCTAAATAACTACCACTGTTGTCATCCTGCTGTCCCCATTCAAAGTTTGTTGGTAATGGAGTATTTATAATGTCTGAGTCAAGGCTACTTCTTAAATAATTAATGCTTCATTTTCCTTTTTCAAAAGAGAAATGGCTCGATTTGACTAGAATCACAAATTCATAGAATATTCAGCTTAGAAGAGAACTTAGAAAGCTAACAGATGAATGCTCTCATTTTATAATTGAAGATACTGAGTCCATGGAGGGGAAAAATGCCTGTGTTTGTGATAATACAGAATAAAAATCCCACCCCTGGGTCTGGGGATGGGGCTTAGTGGTACAGTGCTTGCCTAGTATGTAGAAAACCCGGGGTCCAATCCCCCAGCACTGGAAAAAAAAAAACTACCCCTGTGTTCCTCACATTTTATTTTATAGTAAGCAAAATCATACTTCTTGAACAACTACCATACAAACAACCATTCTTTGTTGACATTAAGGGAGTTGTCTGTCATTCCTTTATACATTATAGCCAGAAAACAAAAACTTAGAAAAATTTGTGGTACCTGTAAAGTTTACTGCAATAGTTTGGAGTGAATGAATGAATGAATGAATCTTAGTGTTATTTGACAAAGCACAAGTTTGTAGTTACTGTTTCATTTTTTATTTTCTTAGATAATGCATTTAAGTGGTGGCTGGGGGAAGATTCTCCATGAGCAGCTTGATGCGTCTATTCTAATTGAAATTCAGAAGCATGTCCTAAACAGGCTAGAAAATGTGTGGTTGCCATTGTTCCTTGCAAGTGAGCAGTTTGCAGCCCGTCAAAAGATTAAGGTATGAAATTTGTATATTATTTGAGTAGCAATTGACAGTACCTGTCAAAACCTCACATGCTTACCTGCTGAGCCAGCCACTGTACTTGTGTGGTTCAAAGTCTGGAGTCAGACTTCCAAGATTTTAATCTCAATACTGCCACATATTAATTGTACCACTTTTAAGTTTCACAAATTTAGTTTTCTCATTTGAAAAATGGAACTAACAGGGGCTGGGGCTGTAGTTCACTGGCAGAGTGCTTGCCTAGCATGCATGAGGCACTGTGTTTGATCCTCAGCACCACATAAAAATAAATAAAATAAAAACATTCTGTCCATCTACAACTACCAAAAACATCTTTTTAAATAGAACTAATAATAGTAATTGCTTCATAAGGTATTTGTGAAAATGAAATGAAATTAATATGGTTAGTTTCTTAGCATGGTGCTGATCATACAACAAACATCAAATGTTACCTATTGATATAGTTGCTTTTTAAAAATATTTTTAGTTGTAGATGAACACAATATCTTTATTTTATTTACTTATTTTTATGTGGTGCTGAGGCTCAAACCCAGTGCCTTACATGTGCTAGGCGAGTGCTCTATTGCTGATCCACAACCCACAGCCCTATAGTTGCTATTTTTAATACTATTAAGTCCTCACACAAATTGGCAAGGATATATAGACATCACTGTAATGCCATATGGGAAAATAGTTGAGTTACAATAATTTCACACTATGGAAAACTATTCAGATTTCCATATAAAATAAGATTATAAAAATGAGATGAAAATATAAACTTGAGATTTCTATATGTATTGATATGAAATATGTTATTTATTGACTGAAACAAGCAGAGCAATATATAGAGAATAATTCTATTATATCTTCTTCCATCTCTATATCTGTATATATACATATCTGTCTGTCTATATACTTATCTTTCCATTCAGCCTTCTAGCTACCTATTATGATTTGGATCTGAGGTGTCCTCCAAAAGCTCCTCTGTTAATGCAGGAATGTTGGAGGTGAAATGATTGGATTATGAGAACTGCAACTGAATCAGTCCATTCTAGTTTGAATGGACTAACTGTAGGCCAGTGGGGCTTGTCTGGAGGAGGTGGGTCACTGGAGGCATGCCCTGGAAGGGTGCATCTTCCCTGCAGCCCCTTCCTCCTCCTCTCTGCTCTGGCTGCCTTGAGCTGAGCAGCTTCCCTCTGCCATGCCCTCCCAGCACCATGTTTGGCCTCACCTTGGGCCCAGAGGAAAGGAGTCAGCCATTTGTGGACTGAAACCTCTGAAAGAGTGAGCTCCAAATAAACTCTCCCACCTCTAAGTTCTTCTCATCAGGCACTTGGTCACAGCAATGCAAAGCTAACACACTGCCTATCTTTTTGMTTATGCTTATGAAAAAAGTCTAAAAGGACCTGCCTCCTGGGAATGGGTTTGAGGAGTAAGAAGGATTTTTACTTTATAAAGTGGAGCTTTTTTTGCTTTGTTTTATTTTTATTTTATATGACCAAGTATTACTTTGATCACTTAAAACGTCATTAGCATTCCTAAAAGCAGGCAAGACTGATCTTTACAAAAATAATAGAAGGGTTGGAAGACATGTAATTTTGGACTAAAAGACATATGGCATTAATACTGATCAGGAAGAACCCGAAAAAGCTTTTCTCTGTATTGTATTCAATTTATTAAACACTTTGAGGTCTACTTATCTGAAAATGTCTGTAGACTTTCGAGCAGAGCAACTTAGGGAAAAAGCAGTACATCTGGGAGCACAAAATTTATAGTATGGAGAAAAAGAGCCAATTTGTTTCAGGCAAAAAGTTCCTGGAAATAAACTTTGGGAAAACTCAAATCTCCTTGTTCCCTTTTCTTCGGGGAAACTCCAATTCACTAAACAAAGCCAAGAAAAAGCACATTTGGGTAACTAATATTATTTACCACATTTTCTCATTATGTTTACCACAGTAATTTTATCGTAACTTGTAGTCATTTCCTGACTTAGCATTCTTTGGGTGGTCAGCAAAATAAACTGATTCTGGCAACCTTAAGCCAAAGACAGAAAGGAGGGCTGAGAATTTATTATCAAATGGTGCTGGTGCATCTCACAACTTAGGGAAAGAGTTAACACCCACCCTTCAGAAAAGATGTAGGTGAGGACAGCCCCAGGAATCCACAAGAGTTCTCAGATCTTTTCTCCAAAGTTTGGCTATTAAAAAGACTTAGGCCTGAGGATGTAGCTCAGTGGTAGAGTACTTACTTAGCATGCACAAGGCCTTGGGGTTCAAACAGTTTATCCCAACTGGTCCTAGTCCTTGTTTCTCTTAGATCTACTCTTGGATCTATCTGCAATGGGTAGGAAGGTAGGGAGAAAGAGCACAGATTTGACAGGAGCAATTCCCAGAAAGGGAAAATATTATATAGAGACAATAACCCCAAGAAACACAGTTGTCTCTTAATATCCATGAAGTACTATTTCCAGGACTCCCTTGGATACCAAAAATCTGCTGATGCTCAAGTCCCTCATATAAAATGATGTAGCATTTGCATATGACCCAATCCTCCAGTAGATTTTAATTCACTACTAATTACTTTTAAAACATTCTAAGGTAACATAAATATTTGGTAAATAGTTGTCATACTGTATTGTGGGGAATAAAAAGGAAAAAGTCTATGCTTATTCAGTACATACGTATTTTTTTTCTGAATATTTTCAATCTGAGGTTGGTTGAATCCACGGATGAATAACCAATGGACAGGGAGGGCCGAAGGGATCTACTGTATTTTTCTCTGTGTTAGGAGTAACTTTTAGACTCTTCTAAAATTAATTGTTGAAAAGTACATGGTTAGGAAATAGCACAAAAATCTGAGGAGCTAAAATTTTTGCTCCAAACTCAGTTTTTATGTGAGCCAAAATAAAATAATCATCTGCATTTAGGGGATTGTGGTTGGGTGTAATCTCTATTTTGCAGATAAGGAAACTGTTCTGAGAATAAGTGGCTCACCTAGAAACCTGACTACAGGGCTTTTATTTCTAATTGATCCTCTTCTGCCTGAATGACTCCATCTCTTATCCAACCTGACCTTTGCCTCATTTTTTAAGCTATTAAATTGGTAAATAATCTCAAAGCTGTAAATTCTGAATAAGGGGGATAAAATTGTTGGTTTTGTTTTTAGGTACAGATGAAAGACATAGCAGATGAGCTTTTACTACAGAAGCATGAAAGGAAAATCGGGATCTGGAAGGCAAGTGATCATTATATTCCTCCTCTTCTAAGTTCCACTCCGTCTAAATTATTATTTTTCCTTCCTCTTCATGTTCAAAAATCTTCATCAAAGACACTGCTTTCTGAACCACCAACCTATTGCTGATAACCGTTCTTACTTAGCAGATGGAATTTTGGCACAAGTATGACTCTGCCAGAGCTCTCTTCTTAAGAATTCCTTGACCACGACCATAGAAGTGTGTCCTTTAACTATGATGTTTTATTTTGTTTTGTTTTTGCACAAGGCCCTGGGTTTGGTCCCCACACACATACTCTGTGTTTGTGTGTGTATTTATATATGAACACATACATACATATATATGTATATATAAAACACATACATATATACATATATTACACATATATATGTGTACATACACACATATATGTATATATACATATATTCTGATTGTGATGGATTTATTGAGACAAGCTATTGTTTCCAGCATATGGTAGTTTTTTTTATTTTTGAGAGTAGATTATACAGAAAGAATAGTATACAAGGGGATCAGCAAGTTTAGACATTTTACATTATCCCCTTTATTTAGAATAAGTTTAGCTTTAAAAGAATTAAGATACTATCATTTCAGTGATTATTAAACCCACTCTAATGATACATTACTAGTAATTGCCCATTTTGCGTCTTATAAGCATCATGAACATAGTCATCCCTTTGAGCCTACAAGTTTATGTGTATTTATTCTTCTACAGGTCATGATAGAAGGCCACACTAGGCCCAGGTGACCCCCTGCAAACCAACAAAGATAAAAATTTATTCAAATGTTAGAGGAGTGCATGTGTCTGTTAGGATGCTCTTTCCTGGATTTCCTCTTGAACGGAAATAATTTTTTTTAAATGTTTGATTTTTTTTCTGTGTTTTTAGTTGGAATACTAAGTAGAATGAGCTTATATTTTATGTTATTGTGTCTTATATATTATATTGTTTTCTATTTAGTTAAATTATGGGTTTTAGTTAAATTACTAAGTTTTAGTATCTTAAGAAGCAGGTCTTAAAACAGTATTTGTTGAGTGGGTTTTAAATAAACATCCCAGTCTAATCCATAGTTGTTTCTATTTATGGGGCTATAATTTTAATATGGACCAGATGGTAAGGGACTTAAGTTTTTGTCCAGAGACCATGGCATGTGCCTCACTAAAGCAGTGATAGACATCTATGCACTTTATCTGGGTTAATGGCACCACCGCCCATCCAGACTGCCTGGAAATGTGTTCACCCCTCAGTTCCAACTCAGATGTCATCTTCAAGCCCTGCTCTCTAAAGGCTTCACTTTTCCATGCAGAATTAGTTATTCTTATCTTTGTATTCCCATGGCACTTAAACATTTGTATTGATGGTCACATATGATTTTTTCCCCAAGGAATGAATTTTGTGCCTTGTCAGTGATAAATATTTTTCTTGAAATTTAATCATTAATATAATTTGTAAGTCCATCTAAAATGGTGCCTTGGGAATGATGCTTTCTTGTATGGTTGTACACTACCATCAACTCTAGGGAACTTCAATAAAATTAAAATCTATTCATCAAATTCAATAAAACCCATTTCTTATGTTTTTTAATCTGAGAGAGTAAAGGGAATTGAATATGTGATTTTAAATAATCAAAGTAAAAGGAGGAGACATGTTATATTTCAAAATTGTGAAGATATAAAATACATGTAGGTTAAAAATGCTCCATGGGTGCCTCTGGATTTCATGTTGCATGATGCAAATCCTCAGCAGAGAAACTTTATTATTTTAAAAAAGTTACTTACTACTTGTTTTTATAATTATTGATTATTAGTCATAATTTATTATTAAAATAATATGAAGATGTTCTGCCTAAAACCATGAGCTTTCAGGATATAATTATAGTGAAGTTCAATTGATATCTTTAAAAAATTAGAAACTCTTAAGTGTTACACAGCTTTTACTTTTTAAAAGGCAGGAGAACTATGTAATAGTAAAATAAATAATGGAGTAATATCTAATCATGACATTAAGATTATCATGTTGTGTTTGAGTGCCGAACTCTTACCACCCCCCGACAGGCAGGGTTGCCAAGTTGCAGTGTTTTAACATTCTCTATGTAGCCATGTGTTCTAAGTCAACTAGTCATTTCCTTTTCCCTCTACCTTTAAAAAACATGATGCCATAAAAATATAAAGGAGACAAGAGAGCAGGGGAGGGGAGTTGTCCAGTTCTATGGTATACATGACATGAATTTCAACAGCCAAAATTAAAGGAGATAAAAGTCAGTAATTTAGCCTACTTGGTGACTTTTCTACTTTTTAGAGCACAGTTAATTTTCTGTATTCTATTTTGCACAGCCAGTGGAGAGTAAATGGATATCTTCATGGAGTGATATTATTGCTTTTCGTAAAGCATTGTTGAATCCAGTTATTGCAAGACAGTTCCAACGTTTTGTGGCTCTAAAGGGAGATTTACTAGAAAATGGGGTGCTCTTTTGGCAAGAAGTACAAAAATATAAGGTATCGTATTGGAAGCTGAGGAAAACCACTTCTTTTTGAAGAGGAAATGCATTAACATATCAAATTCCTAACTATAACTCTCTAGACAAGATTTGTATAAGATCTCAATTTTGCCATCTTCTTCATCCCAATTTTAAATACTGAGGTGCTTATTACTCATTGTCTAGATACACTTACTATTATATCATGAAGAGTGAGTCCTAAAATGGTAGTAATAGGTTTTTTTTTTTAAGGCATTAACCTGTATTATAGAATGAGTACCTTCCTGAAGAGAGTTTTAACTGAATTTTTCTATCTTACATATATGTGTGTGTGTGTGTGTGTGTGTGCCATACACATTTTTTCCCTTAAGATATCTATATAGCCAATACCTGTTTATAAGAATTCCTCCCAACTAAATTTATAACAATTGTAATCAGAGATATCACTTTATAGATAAACCACAGATGAGAAAGGTTTTTCTATTAGAAAGAAAGGCCAAATTCTTAACAAAATAAATAAGAGAATAAGGGGTTAGACACACACATAGTTTATTTGCAGAATAAAGTGTTTAATGGAATCATATATTATATTGTCTAGACTTGAACAGAGAAATGTTGTCTAAAAATACTTAAGAGGTATCCAGCCTCTGTTTAAATGCTCCCAGGGGTGTAGGCTTATTTTCTTGTAATCAGCCTATTTTATCTCATTGTAAGAGTGGGGAATAAAAATTGAACTAGAATTCAAGAGTACAGTGTTTTCAGTTGGTCTATAATGTAAGTTTGTATCATGCAACACTAATACAGTTGCATAATATTTGTTCAATAAAATTCATGCTTTCTCCAACCTACCATGAAACTTTTTTCTACCTTTTTCTGGTTTTGTACTATTCTCAGTTTAGGTTGTAACAGAAAAAAAAAATTGAGAAGTTTTTTCAAAATGTTTCCCAACAATCATATCAAATAAAATTTTTGAGAATTAGACAGGAGGTAGAGTTTGCTTTCCACATCAGGCAATTTTTGAGCAGGGTGGGCAGAATTATCTTAAAGTGAATATGAACATGAATAAGCCCAAGACTGATGGGACAAGAAGAATGAGGTAAACCTTATATTAAAAAAAGTATTAAAAAAGAACCTGGACTCATAGAAGCCACTCTTAGTGTTTGGCTGCCCTTAGTCTCCATTTTAGTATCTTTTCTGCAGTATGGCATGAAGGACTTAAGAGTACTTGGTGGCTATATTTTAAAATACACTATAAAATTAGAAATCACGCTATGGGAATAAATCCATTCCTCTGAGAAGCATCTCGTTTGTGTCTGGAAAGGGAGCGCAGTGTGTTGCCAGGGTCTGAGTAGGTATAGTTGTAGCACAGAGGTAATGCTGGGGTGGTGGGGCAGGGAGGTCTCCGCAGGAGTGGTGGCCCTTGTACTGGGTCTTGAGGGAACTTGCCAGATGGAAGGGGCTCCACTGCGCAAAGCCTTCACTGAGCTCATCTTATGTGGCCTACTCTGCTAAACATTTATTGTCTGGCAGATATTGTCTTAATGCTTTTCATGTAATAATGAATTTATTCTTCACAAGTATCCTATGAGTTCAAGGATATTTTCACCATTTTACAGATGAGAAAACTAAAGCACACACACAAAAAGTTAAACTCCCAACATCACCAGCTAGTTAAATCATAGAGCAAGAATTTGAAACAAGTCATTCCAATGGGAAAGCCTAAGTTCTTAACCTCAAAGTAACACTGTCTCCTAGTAGTGATTATGGTAGTATTTAAAGAGCTGGCTGGAATAAGCTTAATCARATGTTATTCTGTATCATGAAAAAATCAGAAAGAACCAGATGTACAACAAGAGGACACTGGTTACAATTATGAAATTGTAACCATGACAGAATACTTTGTGCCAGTAAAAATCATGCTGGGAAGAATCATCAATGATGGAAAAACATGTTTATATCATTGATTTATTCTAAAGTAGCTACTAGAAAACAGTATGATTTGATCTAAAATGTGTGTGTGTGTGTTTATACAGAAAAGATTAGAAAGACATTTTCATCTAACAAATATTTATTGAACCCCTACCAGGGGCCAGGTTATATATCCTGAGGGTTCAACCATGATCAAAATAATCTCTCTTCAAACTCATGATATCAAGAGAGGTTCAGACGATGGCAGACAAAGCAATAATAAGCATGTCATTAGGGCAACAGCAGCAGGGGAAGCCCAGGATGCTATGGAAGTAGGCAGGATGGATGTCTCTCTTGGAGTCTTGGAGAACTTACTAGAAGGAAACATACTCAACAAAACCTCGATAATAGGTGACAGTTAACTAGGCTAGTGGTATGACAGGGTGGGACAATTAGGAAAAAAATCAGGGCCAATCAAAAAATTCTTCTATATGATAAGCCCACTAGTAATGGCAAATAATGCATTCCATAATGTAACAAATGCCATTTAAATATGTTTTTTTCTAAGGTGATGCTAAATTAAATAGAAATGCTAACCATTATTACAATATAATGTTTTATATTAAGCTTTTTCACACATAAACTTTTGCCAAACCATACATAAATTTTACATGACTGGTACAAGAATTTTTCTTTCATATTATGTGTAAGACAGCTAATACAATGACTGATAGGTACTGGACACTTAATAAATATTAGGTAATTTCTGACTTAGAATTAGAAGTTTCCAAACTTGTTTGTTTTCAACCGATTTAGAAAACAATGTCTGGCCGGACCTAGTGGCGCACACCTATAATCCCTGCAACTCAGGAGGAGCGCAAGTTCAAGGCCAACCTTGGCAATTTAGTGAGGCCCTAAGCAACTTAGTGAGACCCTGTCTAAAAATTTAAAAAAATTACAAGGACTGGGGATGCAGCTCAGTGGTAGAACCCCCACTAAATTCATTCTAGTAGCAGAAAAATAAATTAAAAATAGCTTATTGAGCCCCTACCTGRGGCCAGGTTATATATCCTGAGGATTCAACCATGATCAAAATAATCTTCTCTCTCCAAACTCATGATGTAAATAGAGGTTCAGATAATGGCAGATAAGGCAATAACAAAGTGTGTCATTAGGGCAATAGCAAGGGAAGCCCAGGATGTTATGGAAGTAGGTAGGATGGATGTCTTTCTTGGAGTCCTGGAGAACTTACTAGAAGAAAACATTCCAGCTAATGTCTGTGGCTGGAAAATGCTATAATTCAGACTAAGTTATCTCTTTATTAAGAAAAAGAATATCTCTCTACTTGTGACTTAAAAACTGGGTCAGTTTAAGAGATGGCATTACTTTTATGTTTTTTATGAAGAGGATAATATGATGGGATAATTGGAACAATATACATACTAAACGATATATAATGCCATTCCTTTTCACCAGCAGCAGGCCCACATTCTTCACTAGCCTTTTTAAGCCCAAGTCAATTTGGTGAAAAAGCAGCCTGGCSGGGAAAGCTATTGCATCTACCTGTAGCCTGAGTTAGATGCCCATTCTTGATATGTTGCACGGATCTTCTATATACCTCTACCATAACATACCATAACTAGCTATCCTGAATTTAAGTAACATGTTTTCACATTTCTCCAGTAGAGATTGAACCCTCCAAGGGCATGGGCTGTGTCTGGAGTCTCAGCTCTGTGTGTGGCAGGTAGCAGACTCTCAATATATAGTCATAAAATGAGTCAAAGCAGGCATTAAAGCTGTTTCTTTGCCTTGAGAAACAAGTGATCTGTATTAAATGAAATCTGTACCTATATAAGGTGCATGTATTAGTTTTAGGTTCTTCAAATCCAACAGAAAGAAAAACTATTTTTGTTTGTTTGTTTGTTTATTTATTTGTTTGTTTATTTTTGATAGCCTTGACATGTTCTGGTGCCCTCTTAACCTGAAGTTAAAATGATATACCTTGCAGACATAGGTCTACGAAAGTGTTCTAGTAATGCATTAATCACATATTATTTTGTCTTTCCTTTCCTCCTCCTTGTTTAGGACTTGTGCCATTCCCATTGTGATGAGACTGTCATCCAGAAAAAGATCACAACTATCATCAACTGCTTCATTAATTCTTACATTCCACCAGCTTTGCAAATTGACATTCCAGTAGAGCAAGCCCAGAAGATCATTGAACACAGGAAGGAGTTAGGACCATATATATTTAGAGAGGCACAGGTAAGAGATCAGGGCATGTGGCTAAGCATATTTTAAAATACATTAACAGGGCTGGGGTTGTGGCTCAGTGGTAGAGCACTTGCCTAGCATGTGCAAGGCACTGGGTTTGATTCTCAGCACTGCATATAAATAAATAAAATAAAGGTCMATTGAAAACTAAAAAAAATATTTAAAACATACATTGACAATCAAGATATTCTTTTAAAGCCTTTACATTATTCATATTTGGCAAGATTTCAATCCTCTGAGTACTGGGATTTTWAAATTTAGTTTAAATTAGTTTGCCAGGCCATTTAAATATAAGAAAATAGTAAGTCACTTGCTATTTTGTTGGTGATAAGATATAGCAAATAAAACTAAATAATACGCTTTGACTTTCCGTAGTTACCATTTTTATTTCTAATTTACTAAAAAAACTCCAGCTAATTCCTCCTTCCTTTCCCACCATTCATATTTCTTTTTAAAATATCTGCTACCTCAAAAATGTGTAAAATATGTGTGTCCCAAGATTTGTATATTTTTAAAGATTGGAATATTCACATAGCTCATAAAATAAGTGAGAGGAGATTTAAGTATTCAACCAACATAAAGTACACAAACTCATGAAAGGAAAATCATGTCTGTTAACCTGCTCAAGTTACTTCTTTTTAAGATAAATAATAGAAAACATTGACTTGGTGAACATAATTTATTTGCATTTTGAAAAGCCTTTTAGTGATGTTGTTCTTAAAAAATGATTAAGAAAAATAAATTATAATAGGGGTAATAGGGAAGGCCATGTCATGAATTAAGTGATATGAAACAGAGATTTAGAGTATGATTGCCCTTGAGCATGGAAAAAGGCCATTATTCCTTAACTTTCATTTGTAAGCCAGCTGTGTTCTAAGTCCTCTAAGGGATTGAAAGTGGACTCACAATCCAAAATATGCATTAAAACAGGCAAAAATATAGAGGCATGATTGAGGATGTGCTAGAGAGAAATAGAGAAAACAGGGTGCCAGAATCAGAGCATCTGTTAATGAAGAGGTCTTAGAGAAAGCTTGGCCTCGCCTCGGGGTACTGACAAACCCAGACAGGACTTGCCAGTCTGTTTCAAAGACCTTGAGCCTGGCGTTAGAGACCTGGAGCTAGGGACACTGGCTGGTTCTGGCGCACTCTTCAGGAATTGCAGCCAGTGAGCTTTATTGGTGACCTCTGGCCTGTGACTTCTGTCTGATGTCCTAAAATGGAGTCCTAGCAATAGCTTAAATATAGAGTTTGAAGCCTCTGAAAATACAGGATCTTTATTTGGGGGCCTCATCCCTCTGAATCTGTTATTCCTTCTGTTGTTCCCAAGGAAGCTCAGAGAATGGCATACCACCTACCCCTACCCAGGTATACAGCTAGTATCTGGTTGCCATCTTCATGTCTTCCCTCTCCTTCATTTTGTTACTCCCTCAGCTAATCCCTTCCTCAGATGTGTCCATTTGTCTCCTTGTCAGCTGTCACTCTACCTGTATTTTCTTAAACTGTACCACACTTCAGAAATGTAACAAGTCTCACATCAAATTACCAAAACCCCCCTGCCTCTGGGCTCTCTCTAGTCCTTTCAACTCAATCTGCAAACAGAGCRATCTTTCTAAAATATGTCTGATCATGTCACTTCTCTGCTTAAAATGTTTCCGTTGTTCTCTCCACTGCCCTCAGAATGAAGTCCACATCCTCCATACCTGCCTGGCTCCATCTCTTACCGCTTCCTGCCACCTCTCCCCTGGTCTTCCTGAAATGGCTCTTGCTGTCTTTTCTCCTGAGTGTTGTGCTGTATCCTCTTCTCTTCCTGTATCTGTCCCTGTCAGAGCCCTTATCACACTAAACTACAAGTGACTATCCTCATGTCTGACTTTCCCAYTAGGCTGTAAGCCTTTTGAGGACAAGGAATGTTTCTTTCTTACCTTTGTGGCCCAAATGCTTGGCACATTTTTTGACTTTATGAATGAACGATGTGAGACGAGATCTGGCATGACAGTGAAGAATAAGATCATATTGGAAATGACAGCAGAGTGGAGCAAAAGGACTGAGTAGTAAATAAGACTCTGCTGTTTAGCATGGCCATCAGTGTACCTGTGACRATCCCTCCTGCCCATGCCCAGTGGCTGGAAAATTTCATCATCAGCCAAGTTTTCACTCATCCTTTGACTCATACTAAAACCATTGCTCATCTACTAGCATTGAGCAGAGTAGTTCTGTAGTTATTATTTTCTTTACCCCACAATTTGGTTTTCTTTTAACCTTCTGGAGGTACAGATTCCATTTATTAATTATAGGCATTAACCTAAAATCTTAATTGCATCTTTAGGAAATATAGAGCTTTTATGACTTCTAGTAAAACATTATATGTCCTAATTGGGTGAACTTACTAGAGAGCCTTCTACATGGAGATACATACATTTGAGAGATGGGAATGATTAAGATTTTGGAGAGAGAATGGAGAAGTAGGCACAAAAATTGGTGAACAGAGAAGAAGGAGTAATTAAATTAAAGTTCATATAGCTACTGTGATACCAGTATATTGACAAGGGGATTACCTAATTAAATGAGTGGCAGATAAATATAAATGAAATTTTCTTCAAAGCATGCATTTCATCAAATAAAATATCTCTAGATTTTATAATCACATTCCCAGGAGTCTATGGAATTCAGTCACAAAACTGTCCTTTAAAAAGGGTGAATGATTTTATAATTATGAATCACATTCATGTATGGAAAAGTGGAGCAATGAAATATGCCGATTCAGGACTCTGTTGACCATGAAGTATTTACTTTGTAAAAAAAAAAAAAAAAATCTTCTTTTCCCTTAAGAGTTGGCTTGGTGCCTAATGGGAGGTTCATTTTTCTTAGGGCATTAGGTAAAGGCCATTCCTAGCCATACGATGTTGGGCTTGATTTGATGTGGCAAGTCCTACCTTCTTGGAAGTAATGTATGCCTCTGGAACTAATGGAAAAACTTGGCATGGGAATTAGAGCAACTATTCTTATCTCTGTAAATATCACAATTAATCACTTAATGTAAAGTGTCCTTATAGAAAGCATTTGTCTAGGATACCATTCTGCTTTCTAAATGTTACTTTTCTTGCTCTCACATAAAAGAAAGATTATATCATTTAAAAGTTACTCAAGATTTATTCTTAGATCTGCAGCTTTGTTTAAGAGCTTTTCCAGAGGCAAAATGGTATTTCCTTTCTCTAAAAGAAAGAAAAGGGGGTGGGGGAGTTTCCCTTGATGAACTGAATACTTGGAATACTTGTGTAGAACAGCAGTGTGTAGCAGATCAACTAGTATATGTTTTAAAAGAAAACATAAATTTCTTATTTAAAAAGACCTAATGGATTCTTTATTAATACAATCAATTGGTTAGGGAAACATAAGAATAAAGTGACTTTTAAGTGTATTTGGCGTGTGTGTGTGTGTTTGTGTGTGTGTATTTTTTTTAAAGAAAGAATTCTCATTGGTAATAAAAAAAAAACATTGATGATAAGCATGTGCTGAGCTAAACTGTACTAAGAAGTCTGGAGACAATAAGTTGAAGGAAACATGGTGCATATTAAAGACAGAATAGTTAATCCATTATTATGGTGAATTAGAGTTTAAATTGATGCATTTATATAAAATTGTAATCTGAGACATACTTTGTTTTTTTACACAGATGACAATTTTTGGGGTTCTGTTTAAATTTTGGCCACAATTCTGTGAGTTTAGGAAGAATTTAACTGATGAAAAAATTATGAGTGTGTTAGAGAGAAGACAAGAATATAATAAGAAAATAAAATCCTCAAGCACAGATGWCGAAAAATTGGGAAAGGTAAGACAAGACTTCTTTGGGATTGAATCGTACTTTGAAGAGGTATGTGGTATGTGTGAATTTGTAGAAGAATTTTTACTGAGGAAATATAGAGATAAGTTATGGAATACAGATTTTAGTGGCTTTTAAGTCTTTGTTCAGAGGTTTCAGATTTACTTTTGAGTTCCCCAAGATTCATTTCAAATATTGCCTCTTCTATGTGAAGTCTTCCTTAACTCTCCTAGCTATGCAAACAGCTTACATCTGCTGCAGTAATGTTCCCCCCCCCTCTCGTAAAGCATGCTTTTTATTGTCCTGTAAGTTTCTGCATCTGCCATCTTTGATGGATAGAGATCCTTAAAGAAAGAATCACAAGTTCAAGGCCACCCTCAGCAACTTAGCAAGACCCTGTCTCAAAATTTTAAAAAGTAAAAAGGGCTGGGGATGTAACTTAGTGTTCAATCCCCAGTACAAAAAGAGAGAGAGAGAGAGAGAGAGAGAGAGAGAGAGAGAGAGAGAGAGAGAGAGAGATGGAGGGAGAGAGAGAGAGAAGAGCTCATCTGACTCTTCATCCATATTTCATAAGCACAAATACCTGCAGCCAGCATGTTGCTTTATCATTAATAATCATTGTTTATTGGATAAATTAGGAATTCTATGTGGTGTATGTAAAATAAAGAGTGTAATATACTTTACATCACAGAATACCATTGAAAAACATGTGGAACATAGCACATGTCATAAAGTAAATGTTAGTCACCATGATACTGTAGCAGCGGGTCTGGCATGGTGGTGTGCATCTCAGTCCCAGCTGCTTTGAAGATTGTGGTGGAAGGATGGCTTGAGGTCGGGAATCCAAGACCAGCCTGAGCAACATTGGGAGACTCTGTCTCAAAAACAAATGTAGCAATAATTTTCCTTTTTTATTACAAAAATAATAATATCAAAYATATCTTTAATTTTAAGTAGTTAAACTGAACTGGGTAATCTAAAGAAAGTTATGATAAGAGAAAAAGAATCTCATGAAAATAACTTTCATTTAGTTTAATATCAAATACTTAAAATGAACAGTGTCAAATTTATTAACAAAAGAGCACGTAGCTTCACTAAATAAAAATTTTAAACTTTTAAATGGCAAAAAATAACATTAGAAGAAAAAATTGGGAAATAAAAGTTATGATGTAAGTTKTAAAAGCAAATCAGAAAAAAGGTAAATACTCTAATTAGAAATTTGGGTGAAGAGGGCTGTGGCTGTGGCTCAGTGGTAGCACACTTGCTTGGCAAATGTGAGGCACTGGGTTCAATTCTCAGCACCATATATAAGTAAATAAAATAAGAAAAAGGTCTATCAACAACTAATATATATATATATTGAAAAAAAAGAATTTTGGGTGAAGAGTGTTAACATGCAATCCCCCCCAAAAAAAATTACAAATGAACAAAAGCATTCAAAAGTATTCAGCCTCCCTGTTAACCAAAGACATGAAGACTGGCACAGAWGAAAATATTGGCAATATCCAGTGTTTGTTGAGCTTGTGAGAAAGAGGCATACAAACTCATCCATTATTAGAGAAAGTATAAAATGGCACATTTTTCTAAAGGACAGTTTGACAACAAATATTGTTTAAAATGTTTATTTTTTAAAAGTCAGCACACACACTTCTAGGAATTTATTCTAAAGGAGATAATCATAAAAATTCACAAAGGTACATGTACACAGCATCATTTATAATAGCACAAAGTTGGAAATCACCTAAATTTCTAATTTATCTATGTACATACCTTTAATCACCTGTTGAAAATGATAGTATATGTTTTTCATTTTATCATTCAACAAACATTGAGTGCATAAGACTATTTAATCATTGAAAATGGTRATCTAATTTATTCATTTCATCATTCAGAAAATATTTGAGGGCATCCTATGTGACAGATGCTGTTCTACAGTAAACATATAATGGTAAATAATACAAAGGCCCAGCTTATCTTCCATTTCTGTATTTCTTTTCATAGAAACATTTCCCAAAATATTTTGTTAAGAAAAAAMCAGATTTTTAAAAGAACATATATATGGGAAAACGGAAATCCATATGCTGTAGAATGTAATTTAACCCCTATTTCTCATCCGGCACAAAACTCAATTCAAAGTGGATCAAAGACCTAGGAATTAGATGAGAAATCTTGCACTGCTAAAAAAATATATAGGCCCAACAAACACTCCAACATGTCAGCTCAGGAACTGATTTCTTTAACAAGATTCCTAAAGCACAAGAAGTAAAATAAAAAATCCCTACATAGGGGCTGGGGTTGTGGCTCAGTGGCAGAGTGCTTGCCTCACAATATGAGGCACTGGGTTTGATCCTCAGTACCACGTAAAAATAAATAAACAAAATAAAGATATTGTGTCCATGTATAACTAAAAAAAWTTTTTTAATAAAAACCCTACATGGGATGACGCCCTTCAACAGATGAGTGGATAAAGAAAATGTGGTATTTATACACAATGGATTATTACTCAGCTATAAAAATGAATGGAATTATGGTGTTTGCCAGTAAATGAATGGAACTAGAGACTATCATGCTAAGTGAAATAAATCAATCCCCCCAAACTAAAAGCCAAATATTCTCTCTATACACAGATGCTAGCATACAGTAAGGGAGGGAAGAATAAAAATTTATTGGATTAGACAAAGGGGATGTGAATAGGAAAGACCGAAGAATGAATCAGACACAACTCATATGAATACACAACTGGTTGTAACTCCACATCGTGTATAACCACAAGAATGGGAATGTATGTATGTATAATGTCAAAATACATTATACTGTCGTGTATCACTAAAAATGAAATGTAGTGGAACATTGTGTGAAATTTGGAGATTCAAATTAATATTTAGGATCGATACTTTAGTTCTTTTCCATAATTACCTGCTGTGTTTGGCAAACATAGTGTTTAGCAAACATTGTTCTGGATGATGTTTGCAATTAAAAGACATGTTCTGTCTTCTCAAAAAAAAAAATGGGATGGCATCAAATTATAAAGCTTCTTCATGACAGAGGAAATAATCAAGAGCATGAAGAGAGAGCTATAGAATGGGAGAAAATCTTTGCAACCTCCTCCTAAGATAGGACATTAATATTCAAGATGTACAAAGAACTCAAAAAACTTAACATCAAAAAAGCAAATAACCCAATCAATAAATGGGCAAATGAACTAAATAGACAGTTCTCAGATTAAGAAATCCAAACTGTCAACAAATGAAAAAATGTTATACATCTCTAGGAAATGCAAATTTAAACTACACTGTGACTTCATCTTACTCCAGTCAGAACGGCAATGATCAAGAATACATGTTAACAACAAATGTTGGCGAGGATGTGGGGGGAAAATGTACACTCATGCATTGCTGGTCGGATTGCAAATTGGTGCAGCCTCTCTGGAAAGCAGTACAGAGAGTACTCAAAAAGCTAGGAATGGAACCATTTGACCCAGTTATCCCACTCCTTGAAATATTATATCCAAAGGAGTTAAAATCAGCATGATATATTGATACAGCCACAAAAATATTTGTAGCAGCTCAATCCACAATAGCTAAGGTATGGAACCAATCTTGGTATCCTTCAATAGATGAATGGATAAAGAAAATGTGGTATATATACGCTATGGAATATTACTCGGCCATAAAGAAGAATGACTTTATGACATTTGCTAGTAAATGGGTGGCTTGGGAGACTATCACACTGAGTGAAATAAGCCAATCCCCCCAAATAAAAGGTTGAATGTTTTCTCTGATATGTGGAAGCTAATCTACAATAAGCGGGGGGTGGGAGTGGGAGGAAGGTATAGAAGTTCAGTGGAGTAGACAAAGGGGAATGAAGGAAAGGGAAGGGATGGGAATATATGTATATAAATATACTAAGTGAATCTCACCATTGTGTACATCTACAAGAAATTAATTAAAAAAATAACTATGAGTAAATGACAGAAAGATGGGTAGAGGAGAGGAAAGGGAAGGGGAGGTACTGGGAACTGAATTAGAACAACATATATTTCATGCTTTTAAAATTATGTCAACACATATTTTTTATATATGTATAACATGTATAACTAAAAAGAACAAATAAAGAAACACTTCTCATTAGTAATAAAATAAAAACATTGATGATAAGCATGTGATGAGCTCAACTATACTAAGAAGTCTGGAGACAATAAGTTGAAGGAAACATGGTGTATATTAAAGACAGAATAGTTAATCCATTATTAGGGCGCTCTGGCATGACAGTGAAGCATAAGATCAAATTGRAAATGAGAGCAAAGTTAAGCAAAAGGAGACTCTGCTGTTTGGCATGACTATCAGTGTGACTACCCCCCTGCCCAGGCCCAGTGGCTGGAATTGCATAAAATTCAAGCAACAAAACATAAACATTAAGATTATAGATTATATTTGTATCTCTATGCATTTTCTTTAGTGAGAAGTCTGCATGGATGTTCTTGAAAATGTTACAATGGTTTCTCTTAGATGCTAGAATTTGGGAATAGATTTTATATTCCACTTCATTATCTCATTTGTTTTTAAATATTTTATATTAGTATAAAAAGAAAATTAAGATCAAAATGACTTGATGAAAACTCAGTTGTAGCATTCACCATGAAATATTTTTTCACATGATATTACAACTTCTTCACTTCAAATTCGTATTAGTATAGCATTATCCCTTTTCTGGAATAATTTAATTTAATATGATTACAGCTTGGAATCAAACAATATGGAAGTACTACAGGGTCTGCTACCAAAAGCGCCTTAGTCACTGAACCCCTCCAAGGCCTGCAAGCATATGGCCGGCAGGTAAGCAGCAAAAGAGCACAGGTCTCACTTCCTCTCCAGAGGACTGGGTGGTGGCTCCCAAACTCAGTCACTGGACAGTGCTGGGGTGTGTTTGAAAGTGGGGCTAAAGTTATAACACTAGGAATGATTGGAAGGGAACGTCCTTGAGTTTTTAGAGTTGAACAGTACTTTTAAGCTGATTCTGGACATGTAATCAAGGAAAATAACTTCTTGATACACATGAATAAGATTTAAGTTGCAATGACCATTTTACTGGAAAAGAGAATAAGAGAGAAAAAAAACTATATGTACATATATGTTGTTATATTCTTGTGTTAAGAGATGACAGAAGAATGTTAATGCTTTGTTTCAGYTTTCTAATTTCTTGAAGTGGTCATTAAATTGGCCATTGACTAATACATTCACAACTTTTTTGTTTATTTTTATAATTAGCACATTAATATCACTTCTCCCCAAATTTCATGAGTTTATGTGCATTTTTGATTATTTTATATTGAAAGTGTTTGCATCTTAGGATAATACTGACTCAAGAAACAATCATTTTAGCACTCAGGAATGTCACATAACTTCAGTTATCTGATTGAACTAATAGACTGAAAAGCTTTACTGTGAGAACAGAAATATTCAATTTTATGCAACCATGTGCTGAAAGAGAAATATCTAAAAGTGTACAATACCTAAAAATACATTCAGAAATATATTAGTAAATTATTAGTATTAAACTTCAAAAACAGAGTGTAAAAAGAAAAGGGGTAAATGGCAGGGTTCCATGGCACACGCCTGTAATCCCAGCAGCTAGGGAGGCTGGGGCAGGAGGATCACAAGTTCATAGCCAGCTTCAGCAATTTAGCGAGGCCCCTAAGCAACTCAGTGAGACCCTGTCTCTAAATAAAATAAAAAAAAGGGCTGGGGATGTGGCTCAGTGGTTGAGTGCTCCTGAGTTCAATCTGGTACGGAAGGAAGGAAGGAAGGAAGGAAGGAAGGAAGGAAGGAAGGAAGGAAGGAAGGAAGGAAGGGAGGGAGGGAGGGAGGGAGGATATAGATGACCAGGTTTCTAATTTTTACTCTCCCTTATAATTCAACATTACCTCATTGACTGAAACTCAGCACATAATCTCCTTTGAGTCTGCTTTCTTATCTGTAAAAAGAGAGAAATGAGATGATAATGTCCTAACAGATAGCTCAAGATATTTGTAGGAAATGGAAAAGCTTTTGAAACAGAAGTGGTGATATACTCCTGTAATCCYAATGGTTTGGGAAGCTGAAGCAGGAGAATTACAAGTTTAAGGCCAGCCTAAGCAATTTAGTAAAACCCTCTCTCAAAATAAAAAGGGCTAGAGATATAATTCAGAGGTAGAATGCTCATGGGTTTGATTTTTTTTCAATTTTTGTTCTTTCAATACTGAAAGAAAGAAAGAAGAAATACCCTTTGGAAACCAAAGTCATTTTATAAATATAAATGTAGAWCATAGTTATTATAGCTATTTAAAGTATCCATGTTGAATTACTCTAGCAATTTGTAAAATAACAATAACACTGCCATTTTGCAAATGTGGATGGGTGCCTGGTATATGCATTTTTTCAGGTAGATTTTGCACATTGAAATTGTAATTAATCCAATTGCAAAAATTGTCCTCTGATTCTCCCACCCCCAAAATCTTGGATCTTTTATAAGCACCTAATATGTAAAGATTTAACTGTCAAGATATTTATAAAGCTTTTGTGACACTGATTCACTGAGCAATATTATCATCATCCTCATATCCTCYCCCTCCCCACTCATCCAGGAAATTTACAGATTTAGGCAAAAATTTTTAGAATGCCCTTACTGTATCATAAACATTCTAAGAAAAGGAGTAAGATAGATTGATAATAATTTGTGATGCCCAAAATGTTTACTCAGCAAATTCAGCTTGTGAAATTTATACCCCTTAAACTTCTGATATGCATACTTTTGCATACTTTTCTTCATATGTGTTATACTTCAATAAAAAGTTTAAATGAAGGGATATAAGTCATTTTACCCTCAATGATAGAAGTCATTTTACCTCCAGTTTACTTCCTCAGGCAAAAATTTCTAGAATTAACTTTGAAAATCATTTTTCCAGCCAACCTGGTGCTACTCAAAGTATATAGAAGCCTTAGAACAGGAAAGAGTTCTTCTTAAAATCCAAGAGGAACTGGAAAGAAAGATGCTTGCAGGTAAGTTTTTCTCTTTATTTACAAGATTATTTTGCTATTTCCTATCACAGATTAATTTTAGAGGATTTCAGCAATTACTTTTTATTTCTCTCATTTTGCACAGGTACATCATCACTAAGTAATTTATTTAGGCCTTCTGGTTCAGTCATGTCTTTGAAGAAGACTTTGTCTACCATCAGCCTCCTGAGTGAGTTTCCAGGGCTAGTCCATCTTCAGTCCTCCTTTCTGCCTCTCAGTTGGCCATTCAGAACATGGAGGCCATTCAGAACCCCCACTTCCCTGAATCCCAAGTTAGGGATGCTAGTGTGTCCTGGTGTGTTCTGTCTCTGTGTTTTCTCTCCTKGCTGAGGAGGAAAGACTAAGGTATTTATTCCTACAACTTGACCTCTTTTCCAGAGGGACAGCATTGATGTCAGTGTTTGCATCCTGTTGCTGATAGGTGCAAGGTGAGTCCTAGTCTGAGAGATGGTCATTCCCACCATGTCCCTTTAGCACACACTCATATATATGTGTGCAGCTGTGCACACATAAACCACACGCACACACACCACACACATCTACACATCCGTGCCCCACTGACAAATCAAGGGGTYGGAACATCTTGTCCTCCTTTTGAATGGCATTGTCTCTCCTGAGAAGTAATGCCTTTGAGAGGGATGATTGATGGTTCCTCTTTACTGAAAGTAAAGACAGGGCCTTTCTCCCATAAAAAAATATTGATATACAGATTATCTGTCATTATTTTGTTTTTGTTTTGCCATGTTTTTGTTTTGAGCCCAGAGGCACTCCACCACTAGGCTGTATCCCCAGCCCTTTTTGTTGTTGTTGTTGTTGCTATTTTAAGACAGGATCTCCCTAAGTTGCTCAAGCTGGCCTTGAATTTGCCATTCTCCTGATTAACATCCCAGGTAACTGAGATAACAGTGTCCACTACCATAACCAGCCTTACATGGTTTTGACTGGGTACTAATGTTGGGGTTTAACAAGGCCTTTACAAAGTAGTCCAATGGCAAAATGTAGTATATGTGTGACCCATTGGCCAGMTAGTTGAAGAAGCCTGTTAAATTAAAGTCCCCTTCTTTTTTACCTTTTGTCCTGCAGATTAACTTTTTGGTTTTTTAAAATTCTTACTTTTTCTGGTTCTTGGGAGGGGTTGATGAGTAGGCCTAATGTTTTTAGCCTGTTCATTTTTTTTTCCTATTATTATTTACCCTACCCACTGTTTCCCCCACTCCTTAGGACACCACTTTCTTGATCCTGTGACAATTCTGTATAGGTTTTGTTGTCTCTGTTCTGGATTTATATTTTCCATAATATCATTTTAAATTTATATTTTCTATAAATGCTTATGTTTTCATGAATTTATTTTTGTCTTGCAGGAATTTTTTATGTCAAAGTTAACTGACACGAGAAGCTCAAGTGACTTATTGTCTTGATGGTCTGCCATAGAACAAGTCTAATATTCACATGAAATTTAGCTTGTTTTGCTTTTATACTTGTAAAATTACAGTTATTCTGTACACATGACATACAAGAATGTAAAATTCTCAGAAACCTTACAACAAAATTACTACTATCAAGGTTAAAAGAATCGAAATGTTTTGCTTATCACAATCCTTAAGAGTATGTAATGTTTTTCTCCTCAGTTAATATTTTAACAAATATTCCTTGATTCCTTTACTATATTTGATTAGCAGATACATTCGGCAAGTGATCAGGGAACATGAATATTCCTAGCGATAAATTGGCCCAAAATATAAACAAAAGAGTCTTCCCTCTTTCCTTTATAAAGAAGCTATCATTAAAGCAGTGGTTCTCACACTTTCATGTGCCTAAGATTGACATGTGACCCTGACTCGCAGTTCAGGTTCCTGAGGCCACCTCCTGAGAATCTGCTTCAGTCCTGCTTGGGCAGGACTCAGTTTTTACCAGATGTCCCAGGTGATTCTGATGCAGTATTCCACAGAGGACTCTTTGAGATAAACTGATAGGGCAGCAAGAAAAGTACTTCAAAAGGTAAAAGCCCTCTTACTTACTGAAGCTGCATTTTTTCTCAGAGGATCCAGACATACCCCTTCCTTTACTTGTTCCTGGAGGGAAGGGAAAGTGGGTAAAGAAATGACCTGAGAGGGTGGTTTATGGACCTTATGACTCAGTTGCTCCAAGGACTGTGACTAAATGACCAGATCGTGAACAATGGACTTCCAGTTCTACACAATCATGGAAGATATTTTCAAAGTTGTAAGTGCCATTCCAAATTCTCCAAGGAGTTAAATATTTTAAGTGGGGAAAGTATCGGTAGATATACTTTAAAGATCATCTTTCTTCTAAAGCAGGGGGTTTAGGAACTCTGAAGTTTCCTATGCTCCCACAGCACCCCTAAACCCTAGAAAGCCTGTTTTGTGACTATTTTCCATTTGTTAACCTTCTTAATTCATCTCTTCTCAATCTCTCTCTCTCTACTTCTCCCACCCCTGTTTTTCCTCTCCCACTATTATCCTACCTTCTCTGTTTTTTTGTTTGTTTTGTTTTTGTTTTTTGTTTCTGGGAATTGAACCCAGGGGCACCTAACCAGCCACATCCCCAATCCTTTTTAAAAAATATTTTATTTAGAGACACATCATCTCTAAATTGTTGAGGCTGGCTTTGAAGTTGTGATCCTCCTGCCTCAGCCTCCTGAGTTGCTGAGATTACAGGTGTGTGCCACCATACCTGGTTAATAGAGCATTTTATGTGGTCCKTTTTTTCTCTCTTAGCATATCAATTAGACTTCTTTTAAAAATTTTCTCACTGGTTGTCCCAAAGTGTGCAATACACATTACAACTAATAAAAGCCCTCTTTCAAAGAATGTTAAAAGCACCAGGCATGGTGGTACATGCCTGTAATTCCAGCAACTCAGGAGGCTAAAGCAGAAGGATCCCAAATTCAAGTCCAGTCTGGGCAATTTAGTGATACCCTGTCTCAAAATAAAACATAGAAAAGGCAAATTTTAAAAAAGAAAAATTTAAAAAAGAAGCCAGGAAGAAAGGGGTAGAGCAACTTAATCTACAGAGGAACAAAGATAAGAATTACATTTGACTTCTCTTCAGAAACCATGCAAGCAAGAGAGTATGGAGTAAAATATTTTAACTGTTCAAAGAATGTAGCTTAGTGATAGAGCACCCCCGGGGTCAGTCTTCAGTATCAACCTTTATCCCTCTGCAAAAAAACAAAAATAAACACTATAGTATTTCTAGGTAGTACAAGTACCTATAACAGAGTATTACCAATCCTCCTTTATCACACTTTCCAATGAACTATAATCACTGAATATGTTTTGCTGTTATTTTGAGCAAATTTTTATCTGTTAGAGCAATTGGGAATAAGAAAAATAGAATTTATTATTTACCTTCATATTCCTTCTCTATGAATCTTCTTTATGTAGATCTGAGTTTCTGACATATAGGATTTTTCTTTTCTCTGAAGAATGACTTTTCATATTTCCTTGTAAGCTAGGTCTACTTGAGACAAATTCCTTCAATTTTTCTTTGCCTTAGAAAGGCTTCCTTTTTAAAGATAACTTCATAGGACAAAGAATTCTGGATCAGTGTTTTTTTTTTTCTTTCAACACTGAAAATATTTCACTCCACTCTCTTCTCTGCATGGTTTCTGAAGAAAAGTCAAATGTAATTATGATCTTTCCTACTGTGTGGGTTGAGCTGTCCCACTCCTCTCCTTCTGGCTTCTATCAAGATTTTCTCTTTGTCTTTGATTTTCTTAAGTTTGAATATTACACAAATAGGTATAGATTTGGGGGCATTTATCCAGCGTGGTATTCTTCGAACATCCTGGATCTGTTTTGTTGTCTATCATTGATGCTGGGAAATTTTGTCGTCATTACTTCTAATAGTTCTTGTTTGTTTTCTTTTCCTTCGGTATTTCCATGACAAGCATTGACACCTTTTGTTATTGTGCCACAGTTCTTAAATATTCTTTTCTTTTTAATTCATCTTTCTCTTATCATATCAGTTTTGGAAGCTTCTGTTGAGCACCTAAAGCTCATGATTCTTTCCTCAAGTGAATTCGGTCTATTGATGAGTTCATCAAAGGCATTCTCCATTTATGTCATAGTGTGTGTTTTTTATTTCTAGCATTTCTATGAGTTTTTTTCCTTGGAATTCTCTGTGCTACAGTACTCATCTGTTCTTGCATATTGTCCACTTTTTGAAAAAAAATTAGAACTCTTACCATATTAATCATGGTCATTTTAGATTTCCTACTCAGAATGTCAATACCTCTGCCATAGCTGAGTCTGGCTCTGGTGCTTGCTCTCTTCAGACTGCATTTTGCCTCTTCACATGCCTTGTCATTTTCTGTTGAAAGTGAGACATGATGTATTAGGTGAAAGGAACTGGGGTGGATTAGCCTTTAGTGTGAGGTTCATGTTCAGCTGGCCAATGATATGAACTTACTGTGTTGTTAGAGCTTGAAATTTCCTCTTTGCCTTTGTGTCTTGTTTCCCTGTTGTGTTTGGGTTTTCCTGAAGACTAAATAGTGCCTCAGCCTTGACATTCTTGAAATTGGTCCCTGTTAATGTGGTGGTGGGGGAACATATTGTAGTCCCATGATTAGATCTCAGTGTTTCATGAGCCTGAGTTGGGTATTTCCCCTTCCCAGTTTGTTTGGGCTTTGATAAAACCCTCCTCTGTTGGGGTCTTGTCAAATTGTCTCCTAGAGGGTAGGCCTTGTAATGAACAGCACACTCGGGGTAGATTTCAAAATGATGACTCTAGTCCTCTCCTACCAGAAGCAAGAGGAGATGTTTCTCTGGTCTTCTCSGGAAAACATGGTAAAACTTCTAGAGATAAAACTCAAGGGGATTTGGGGGCTCCCCTAATTCTGGACCCTTGAGACTTTTTTTTTWAAACTCTCAAGCTAGTCTGCAGTAAGCCTTGAGCAATTCATCAGTTACAGCCTCACTGTTCCTACTGAGGCTGGTTCTAGCTGCAGGCTTCTGCTCCTGATGAGCTTTCTGTCTCTCTKGTTTTAGGGGCAGCAGGTTGCCTTATTACCAACAAGGAGAATTGTTGATTCAGATTGTTTAGCCCTTTTTCTTGTGAGGATGGTTGTGATGACTGATCTCCTTACATGACAGTCCAAGTCCCTCACAGTGTCTTCAGAGCATGAGCTTATCCTAGTTTTTATCATTAGAGGGAATTTCCTTATATTAGTGTGCAGGAAGTATCATCAACTGTAGTTCCACAGGCTCTTCTCAATATTTTGTCAATTCTTCTCCTCCTCCCCTCCTTATTATTGATGGTTACCTATTTCAGACCACCATCACTTTAAAGCTGGGCACTAATTAGTATTTCTTTCTCCTGCCTGGCCACCTTCCCCCTGTCCTCAGTGTAATCTTTCTAAGATGCAAACATGATTCCCCTGACTGAATCCTTCATTGAGATGATTGGTAAAACCTGCTATTGGTCAACTAGAAGTCCTTTACTTAGCRTGATGCATATTTAAGGCCCTTTAGGTTCAGGTTTATCGACCTCAGCCTGATTATCATTTTTGCCAGATGATTATTTGTTGTAGAGGGCTGTCCTGTGCATTGTCACAGTGTCCCCAGCCTCTACACACTTATGCTGATAACACTTCCCCAGTTGTGGTAACTCAAATTTCTTTAGGTATTTTGTCAAATCAGCCTTATTTGAGAAGCACTGCTTTAGCCTTCTGAACAGTTTTATTTTTGTTTTTTGAAATCTCTGATTATAATAAAACTTTTAAATTCTAGTTTCAGGGCATATATATATATTTTTTAAGTGTCATACCTGCTGCCTCCATAACACCTACCGATAGTACTTTTTAATCACCAATGACTGATTTGTTTTAGTGAGTGTCTATCTTACATCTACTTGAATATTTTCTGCTTTTTAATGTAATCACTGAAAGCATAATGCCTAATAGAGATTCCCAGCCAATGTTTGTTGAATTAATAAAACTTAAATTCCATATTCAAGTTTAATGTAGCATATACTGTGTTTTAAGTAATCTTAAAAGCGCTCTTAAATCTGAATTGGGTGTGTACAACTAACTAAATAAATTTTTATTGTGCTCTATTTTTGTATTTGATGCTTCTTAATTTTATGAGTTCTCTTAAAGAAAACACAGTTCATTTTCAGAAGAGTCCTAAGTTTTAAAAACACAAATTACTATGCTGGGGTTGTAGCTCAGAGGTAGAGCACTTGCGGAGCATGGGTGAGGCAGTGGGTTCAATCTCAACACCATAAATAAATAAATTAATTAAATTTAAGGCCCTAGTCTCTTCCTCAATGAGAAATTACTTTTGTATTTTGATTTAGGACCTTGGATCAAAAGATGAAAAGAAAAATGGAAAATCTGTGTTCTTTCCCTTTCCAGAGTCAGATACTTAGGGTATATGACTAAAATTCCTGATCTGAAAATAGTTACTATGTTAGCAACGTCTTCCTTATTATTATTACTATAAAGCTAATATACGCACCTGGGGAAAACATTCAACAGTACATGATGAAGTGAAGTGGTGATCTCCCCCTTTGCCCCATTATGTTACAGGCTGCTGTTCCCAACATCCCACTTTGATTCCTCTTAGTACTGTGTCAGACCACAGCCCAGTTGTATTAGAGAAAAGGAGAGGTGCTCAGAGACTAAACAAAACATCAGGAGATGGTGTGCAAGAAAAAAGGTTTATTGGAAAATGCTTACAGGGAGGTCCAGTGACAACAGGATGGACAGACAGCACCTCTGTCCCTCTGGTGCTTTGCCAGAAAACAGTGCCTTCATCCCTCCTGGTATCTTTGTCCAGTAGTGACCAACTGGACAAGTAGCACTTATTATCTCCAGAGTGTCCTCAGTTACCACAGGGAGAAGAACTTTATAAATTAGGCCACAGAAGCAATGACATCATTAGTTTGCTTTGTTCCTTGTATGACCAGAGTTCCAAGGAACAGYTGTCCTGACATGCATGCAAGAAAGCGGTTCCTACAAATAACCCCAGTTTCCCTAGTTGTAATACACATGAAAAAGAAAGAGCTAGTAGTATCTCTAAAGATAGAATTTATCTGGACATTCTAGCCAGGCCTGCTCTTATTATTCCCTTAACTAGGCTTAGTTCTTGGGAACAGAAATGGGTATTTCAGGGACATAGTGTTTTATTGTTTTCCTTTTCTTCAAGATGACACATAATGGGGCTGGGGCTGGGGCTCAGTAGTAGAGCGCCTGCCTCGAACATGTGCAGCACTCGGTTCAATCCTCAGCACCACATAAAAAAATAAAGATCTTGTGTCCAACTACAAGTTCTAAAATAAAAGATGGCACATAATGGAATCCCACCGTTAGCTATGCTCATGACCACCTCACTGGAGTAAACTATCCTTTCTCAGGCTACCTCACAGGTAGGTATGGCCACCAGACCATTAAGCCAAGGGATGTGAACATAGTGTGCAATATCCATTCAAGTCTTAAGAATGAAAATGCTTTCCAACCATTTCTCTTTTCTCTCTTCCTGTGGGATCACAGTTGTGCTGGCTAGCAAGCTCCACCATAAAGATGGAACATCTGAAGAATTATGGAACCTAAGTCTYTGAATGGCCTCAAGGACAGCTGCCTCACTCTGGATAGAGAAACAAATTTCAATCTTTTCTTTAATATTTACTTTTAGTGGTTACAATTCCTTTATTTTTATGTGGTGCTRAGGATCAAACCCAGTGCCTCACACATGCTAGGCAAGCAATCTATGTTTGAGCCACAACTCCAGCCTCCTAATCTTTGAGTCACTTTATTCTTATGCATTTTTATTGTGCTACTGTACAGAAACCTAAAATATATGGCATTGATCAAGCAGTCAGTTTGTGGACATAAACAAAGCATATAATTACAATAAGAAAGGTGGAAACCTTTGTAATATTATGCAAAATGTTTGGTAAAACTATTACTTCTATTAACTTAGAAGGCAGACCATGTGCCTACTGTGCCCATGGCTTTATAAAGGAGRGGTTTTAAAAAGGAGAAGGAGGAAGAAGATGAAGAAGGAGAAGGAAGAGGAAGAGGGCAGAAGAAAAAAGGAAGAAGGAAGGTTGATGAACATTGTGGGTGTGTTGCTCCTTGCAGTTTTTAGTAAGGCACTATGAGAAATACATCAGGCAAGAATGAACCAGTTTACAAAAAGAAATGTAAGAAAATACAGCTTAGCTAAGGGAGGCACATTCTCTGACTATCTTGTAATGCAATTGACGTAAAATCTAATAATTGGGCCCTCAAAGTTGGTAAAGCCAACTGCAACTACACCCCATAAAGCAGAGCCTTTAGTTATTAAGACTTTTCATCTGGATGGTGGCTGCTGTATAACAAAGATCAAAGTAAAGATAATGCTATTCTGGCCTATTGTCTTTAAAATAGCCACTGTTAAAATTTAACAATTGTGTTAAGCATAGAAGAGAATAAATAAAAAGAGAGTTAGCAGGCTTAAATCTATGGCCAGAAGATATTTGTGACATGGAGCTGACTGGAACTAGACTGAAAGCTTACAAAACTTTTGATGAAATAACATTCTCATCAAATCTATGAATCTATTATTTGGATAAGAGGTGTCCCCCACAAAGCTCCTGAGTTAATGCAGGATATTTGTAGGTGAAATGCTTAGACTGTGAGCTGTAATCTAACCAGTCCATCCTAGTTTGAAACTGAGTGATAATTGTAGGTAGGTGGGGCATGGCTGGAGGAGATGTTTATTAGGGTTCTCTAGAGGAACAGAATCAATAAGAAGTATGATTATACAAAGGGAATTTATTAGATTGGCTTACACGACCAGAAGCTAAATACAATCAACTAAATATTTGGCCTTTGGTGATTAAACTCAATCCCCAGCTCCTATCCTCAGAGATCAGGGAGTGGAGCTGAAAGTTTCAGTCCTCTACTCACACAGTTGGTTCCACTGAGAATTATCACCCATTCTGAAGCTATCTAATTCTACTGTTGGGAACAACCTTGGGGACTAAAACCAAATATTATTACTAAGGATATTTTTATGACTTAGTTAAAGGGCTTGGGGAGCTTTGTGTCAAGAATCAGGAACAGAAACCAAATATGTTACAATCCATTCCGTGGTTTCTATCCATACCCCTTACAGTAAACATCATAAAAGTCAAAATATATTGGCACCTTACTAGAATCTTATCCACTCATTAATTAGTCCATCATCATAACACTGAAAATTTCTCCCAGAGCAAGGCCACTCAGGTTGGTAGGCTTGCTTTCTCCCATCCAAGTATTAACCAGGCCCGACCCTGCTTAGCTTCCCAGATCAGACAAGATCGGATACTTTCAGGGTGGTATGGCCATAGACAGCAGGCTTTCTTTTTATGTTGCAAGGTTCTAGAAGCAGGAGTGTTCTTATCAGACTGATAATAGTACCCTCTTAGGTGTCTYGTATAGTTGAGCCATGAAACAATATTTTCTCTTGCCTCAGTCTCTTTTAGGGTGTTGATGTAACGTTGGATTTCCCTCATTAAGGAACCCATTCATTCACTCCTTTATTGTCAGCTAGTATTCCTCCTTTCCATTTATGTCCAAACTTTTCTACCTTTGGAAGAGACACTAGGTTCAGGCAGTGATATTAATCTAGCAAGTACCTCTGTACTTCAGGCAGTGATATTAATCTAGCAARTACCTCTCCTCAGTCTCCTCCCATGCAGATAGAGTGAGGTTCCCTAGGTGCAGAATGCAGTACAGTTGCCCTCACTGCTAACCCCAATTTTGACAGATGAGGTGAGGTGAAGGCAAAATCTGCTTCATCAGGTCCTTAAAAATTCTGACATGAAAATTTGAAAATAGAGTTAAAATTTCTTGTTCAGGAATCATCMTTGTTTCTGGCACTTAGAGTTGCAGACTTGGTCCTATGATCACCACGTCAGGTAGGAAAAAGGCTTGAGGTGATGTAGGGAAGAAAGAAAAAACATGTAATTGTTGCATGAGAAGCCTCCCCACTCAGCAATAGTTGCAGTTATTCAGGATCCACCACACTCCCTCTTGTCTGGATCTWCCTTCCCCCAGATGCCTGCTTTCTGGGGCTACCTGCTATTTTCAATAGCTCGCAGGTATGTCATGTTGCACAGTGGAGTCCCCACTGTGGATTCACTCCAACAGCTCCATTCCCGTGGCTGCACTTGGCATTGCCCCACTGGGATCTCTGCAGGGACTAATTCTGCAGCAAACTTCTGACAGGCCTCCCAGGATTTCCTTTGAAATTTTGGTGGAAGCCATGACCCTCTAACTCTGAATTCTGCACTCCTGCAAAGTCATGATGTGGTCACCACAGGCTGATGCCAGCATGAGCTGCAGCTGGCCTGCTTAAACCACAGCTATAGCCAGGGAGAGCTTTGMAGGCTGGATGCAGGGAAACAAATTCTGAAATGAGGCCAAGAAGAGTGTTTCAGGGTTCTGTGAAATAGTTCTTCCCTAAAGGTCTCTGGACCTATGATGAAAGGGTTGACCTCAAAGATTTCTGAGATGCAAAGCAACTTTTTTTTTTTCATGTTAATCTCTTAACCAAGTGATTAATCAATCACATCCTTACATGCATTTTCCTCCCTCCTTCCCCAGCCAGGTTGCAAATTTTCCAGACTTCTTCACTCTGCTTCTTTTTGCTCCTAAGTCTCACTGTAAATCTGACTAAACCTGGTCCATAATACCCATACCTGGGCTGGGGATGTGGCTCAAGTGGTAGCACGCTCGCCTGGCACGCGTGCGGCCCAGGTTCGATCCTCAGCACCACATACAAAGATGTTGTGTCCGCCGAAAACTAAAAAAAATAAATCTTAAAATTCTTTCTCTCCTCTCTCTCTCTCTCTCTTTAAAAAAAATAATACCCATACCTTAACCTGAATGTTTTGTTGTTTTGAAATTAATTCCATAAAATAAGCCAGTCTGTCACTTTAAAAATTGTACCTCCCACAAAGACTTTGGATATGGACTCAATATAGTGAACTTCTTTGCTACCTCATAACAATGTCTTTCCCTCCAATTTCCAATTAAATCCTCCTTTCTACTGGAGATGAGTTCTCTAATTTCCTCATCTCATGACTGCTCACCAGAATCACGTGTAACCTTCCACTTGGCAGAATGCTAGGCTTTTCCTGGCCTGCTCCTCCAAACTCTTCCAGCCTCCGCCGATACTTCAACTCCAAAGCCACTTCCACATTTTCAGATACTCATTATTAGCAACAGTTCCACTTCTGGGTGCCAATTTTCTGTATTTGTTCATTTTCCGTTGCCAATAACACAATAATATCACAGGCCAGGCAAGTTTTAATRAAACTGGTTCATGGTTCAGAAGGCCCAAGATTGAGGAACCACATCTGATGATGCCCTTCTTGCTGGCAGAATCCTGATGTGGTACAGGGTTTCATGTCCAAATGAAAGGAAACATGCACATATGTTTTCTGGTCTCTTCATCATGAGAGCTCTACCCTGCTGACCATATCTGATCTTAATAACCTCCCAAAGGCTCTAACTCCTGAAGGTTCATACCACCTTTCCATGTTGCTGCACTAGGTACCAAGTTTCTAACACATAAACCTTGAGGGACAAACCACATCAGAACCATAATACCACGTATATCCACATAGACACTCAGGGATCAAAGGTTCCTCATCCCCTACTTTTTATCCTACTTGTTCCCAAAACACTTGTTTCTGTAAGCCAGAACCATTCTAGCAAGTCCCACTCCTCACACCAAATCTAGGAAAGATCTGTTTCTTCTACTTCAAAATTTTTGACATCAAACATGTAGGTTTTCTATTAAAAAAATCTCCAATTATCTGCAAAAACC